TGGACCTCCCGGGCATGGGCCCCCCGGGCATGGACCCTCCATCCTCTAGCCAGAAGATAGAATCATCCTGTAAAAACACAAATCAGACCATATCTCTTCCTTCTTATTTCAACTCCATCTATGGCTTCCCCCTATAACTAGAATATAGCCAGTAGTCTTACAATACCCTATAAGATCCTACAGGATCTGGCCATTCCGGGCATGAGCTTCCCGGGCATGGGCCTCCCGGGCATGGGCCCCCCGGGCATGTGCCTTCCGGGCATGAGCCTCCCGGGCATGAGCCTTCCGGGCATGAGTCCCCCGGGCATGGGCCCCCCGGGCATGGGCCTCCCGGTCATGGACCTCCCGGGCATGAGCCTCCCGGGCATGGGCCTCCCGGGCAGGCTGCGCTCTCAGCCTTGGCCCACGTTCACTGGGCTCTTTCATATCTGAGGAGCAGAAACGGGCCTGGATCCCCTGAAATAATGGGGATTTATTGCCATTTTTCACGTGGGCTCGGAAAGATAAGGATCTGGTAACACAGCCCAGCTTCGTGGAAAGCAGTGCCCGCCCAGCACTGGCAGGGACCCAGGCTCCTGGGCCTGGCTATCTCCTAGCTCCCCTCCTCCCTCACCCGCACCCCCTCCTCCCCGCACCTCTCCTCCTTCACCTGCGCCCCTCCTCCACACCCCGCCCCAACCCATATGCCCTCCGCCCCCTGGATGCACCCAGAATGTTCCGTGCATCTCTGCACTGAAGCACCGCTCCTATTGCCTCGGGTTGGGGTGCTGGTCGGGGTCCCCCTGCACCTGGGCGCTGTAGCAGCTAACCCTGCACCCTGTAGGACCCCGCAGCCCAGCTAAGAGGGCTCCGGTTGAGGGGGGCGGGTCTAACAGGTGCCCAGGTCATTCATTCTCTGGACACCTAGAGTCACCAAGCCCTGGGTAGGAGCCGGGAAGGTGGTTTACAACACACCCCAAAGTCAAGGCTCGGGGGGGGGGGAATGTCGCTGGAGCTGTCCCCCAGCCCCCACCCCCATAATCACACAGGTGTCGCCAGCTTTTCTCTGGTTGCTTTTCTCTCCGCAGGTGGAGAGAACCTGGGAAACCGGCCGCGGCAGCAGGAGCTCCAGAGCTGGGTTTGGTGGATTTGATGGCCCGGGTGCGGGATGCAGAGCGGACGCCGCCGGGGGCTGCCACAGTCGCTGCCAGAGTGGAATTTTCCACCGTGCCGCCCAGCGTCTCATTGGCGGAGCCGGGGTGCCTGTCCCCCGCGTGGGACGCAGATTAGATTAGCCTGGGGGCCCTGAGTGTTCCTGCTAATGAAGCCAGCCGGGCAGGGCGGGGCCAGGGAGGAGCCCAGGTCTGTCTTCAAACCCAGCTGGCCCGGCCTTTCTCTGTCACCTTCCCGCACAGAAGGTGCCCACTGAGCCGGGAAGTCCGGGGTGGACATTAGAATTTGCTGCTACACAGCCAACTTCCCTGGGAAACACGGGAAAATCAGATTCCAGCTCAGTCCTGCTCCCTCCCCATCTGCGCTCCCCTGGGTGGCAGCCAGCAGGCCACCCTCTGCCCCTGGCCCGGCAGGTAACCCTGGGAGTCGGCAGACTCTCACAGACGCCCAGTCCAGGCAGAACTTCAGAACCAAATCGGGCCTCCTCCCTCGGGACCCATGGAGAGATTCGGACAGTGAAAGAGTCAGAGATGGAGAGTGGACCCCTGTGTCTGAGGGACACACAGGCAGATCCCGCCCCACACGGATCCCACCCCACACGGATCCCCCCACACGAATCCCCCATACACGGATCCCCACACACACGGATCCCGCCCCACACGGATCCCACCCCACACGGATCCCCCCACACGAATCCCCCATACACGGATCCCCACACACACGGATCCCGCCCCACACGGATCCCACCCCACACGGATCCCCCCACACACGGATCCCCCCACACACGGATCCCCCCACACACGGATCCCCCCACACACGGATCCCCCCACACACGGATCCCCCCACACACGGATCCCCCCACACACGGATCCCCCCACACACGGATCCCCCCACACACGGATCCCCCCACACACGGATCCCCCCACACACGGATCCCCCCACACACGGATCCCCCCACACACGGATCCCCCCACACACGGATCCCCACCCACACAGATCCCCCAACATGGATCCCCCACACATGGATCCCCCCAACACAGATCCCCCCACACACGGATCCCGCCCCACACGGATCTCCCCCACACGCATCCCAAAACATGTGGCGAGGCGCCGGGAACAGCTCTGTGCGGACAGACTGGGCTCAGTGGCATGAATGTGGGAGGCCTGGCGCTGGCTGATGGTCGAACAGACGCCCGTCCTGTTTTCTCCTGCAGTTTCTGGCTTGGGAAGCTGCTTTCTGAGGGTCCCTGTGTCATCTGCCACCCGGGCGGCTCGGGCCTCGGTGGCACTTGGGGAGGGAGTGACGGGTGTTCCCTGTGGTCAGGTCCCGGGTGACCCATCCCCGCTCCTGGCCCAGAGGCGGCCCTGTCACTACTGGTCTGTGGGAGCTCGGACATTTCTTTGGGGCTCAGATTCCTTGGGGTGTGTGTGTGTGTGTTGTTGTTGTTGTTGTTTTGGTGCTAAATGGTTCCTCAAAGTGTTAAATGGAGAATTATCGCACAACCCAGCTCTCCACTCGGAGGGATTCGCCGGGAAGAGCTGGAAACAGGTACTTGGATGAGACACTTGCACGTGATGCTCATGGCGGCGTTAGTCACGGTAGCCAAAGGCTCAGACAGCCCGAGCGGCCATCAGGGGTGATGGACACACTGACGGGGCCTCCGCGCGGTGGGAAGTTACTCAGCCGCGGAGGAGCGAGTGACACCTGCTTCGGCGCGAACGGACCTGGAAACGTTGTGCCAAGTGAGAGGAGCAGCCCCCGAGGCCGCAGATGATCTGATACCATTTCCATCCGTCCAGCTCAGGGGTCCTCAAACTTTTTAAACAGGGGCCAGTTCACTGTCCCTCAGACCACTGGAGGGCCGGACTACAGTTTAAAAAAAAAACTATGAACAAATTCCTATGCACACTGCACATATCTTATGTTGAGGTAAAAAAACAAAACGGGAACAAATACAGTATTTGTATTTGCATGTGGCCCGCGGCTGTAGTTTGAGGACCCCTGGTCCAGCAGGACGGTCCGGGACACGAAGGCCGGCGGTGGCGGTGGCTGCGGGGCCGGTGGGGGGGCGGGAAGGAGGGCGGGGTAACCCTGTGGTGAGACGGGCTTTCTCTGGGGAGTGGGGAGAGTCTTAGAAACACACAGACATGGTGGCTGCGTGACACTGTGCAGGTACCAGATGCCACCAGAATACACGTTTTTTTAAACAAATAATGGTGTGAAATATTGTGAGCAATACATGAATATGGTTAAATGCTGCCTAATGGACAATTGTATTAGAATGAGCAAAGTGGAGAAGTCGCTTCAGCAAGGCAATGGGAGATCTTTGGTCCTTTATTCACTGAATAACATCCTGCTGTGCCCGTTGGTGCTACGAATTTCATTTTCTAGAAAAGGCACAGAGCTGGACACGACACTTCCATTCACTGGCATTAATTTCCGCTTGAGTCCATCTGCTTTTATCCTTAAGATGCTCACACCCCAACGTTTTTCCTTCTTAAGTTACCGTTTTATGGGCAAAGGGAAATATTACGTGCCATACACCAAATGGAGCCATCTTAGTTCAGTGTCTTGGGTATCCCTGCAACAAGTATTATTCCATTTTGTAGATAAGGAAGGTGAGACTCCAAGATGTTAAGTCATTCTTGAAAGATCTTAAAAAATCCCAGACACA